AAGCCTTGAAATGCTTGAGATGGATATGGCATGCTTGTCCTGCTGGATGTTGATCATTGGCCCCTACCTGGATGAGACGTCGAAAGTTGCCTTGCGAGCCATTGTGCGGAGCTGTGAGTGTGACAGCCTGCCCATGACGCCCAGCAAAATTCGTACAGGCTGGCAGACAAGGCAAAGGACCTTGCTAATGACGCCACCGACGCGTCGCCGCAAAGCTTGAGCAAAGACAATATAGTATCCAGCCTTCGCAGACAGAAAAGTCATGCGCGCGATGAAGGGATGATTATAATTGACTGGCAACTGTGTAAAACTTGGTAAACGATTAACCCTCTCAGGCCCGGTATTTTGTGGGGCCTCTGAGGGCAGTGGGGCTCGCTCTGTAGTGTAGAGTCTTGGAACTTCTGTACTGTGTGTACATATATTTTTTGACAATAATAATATCACACATTTTCAAACTGATAATACCAAACCCTATTTAATCCCAACACTTGGTCTGAATGTTGCTAGTAAGTGCAGGGTGGTCTACTTTATATACCTTATACCTTTAGTATATTTTAAAGTGGATCTGAATAAAATGTCACGTGTCAAAGATCATGTGAGTTCATGATCAATGATTCACCACGAAAATGCCAAGAGCAACAGCAGCAACAGCTATACAACAGCAAGTAGTAGTAGTAGTAGTAGTAGTAGTAGTAGTAGTAGTTGTTGTTGTTGCTATAGCATGTTATAGCTGTAGTAGTAGCAGCTTAGCAGTAGTGGTTGTAGTAGTAGTAGTCGTCGTCGTTGTCATTGCTTAAGGATCTTAAAGAGCAATAGCGGAACAATGCAGAACAATATAAAAGTAATTTCAATATTTTCCTAGGGCTCTAAGTTTATTGTCTAATCCCACCCACTAAACATGTTTTGTTTATTCACTTGCCCGGGCTCGTGCACTACCCCCTTGAACATTTGTTGGGAGCAAAGACATCGATGAGTTTTTCCCGAAAGCATTGCGAAGGGTTCTTCCGGAAAATCCTTTGAACACTGACACTTCGACACGTACACTTAGACACACCTAGACATTGACACTTTCACCACACACCTAGACATTGACACTTTCACCACACTGGCAGGATAAATAACATGAATGCTATACGTAGCCCTGTGTAAGTGGAAGAGCGAAAGCTGTCAAAGTATGCAAGTGGAAGTATGCAAGTGTAAGTATGCGAGTGATGAGTATGCATGCAATGATGAGTATGCATGCAATGAGTATTGCAAGCATGCAATGAGTAGGCAAGTGAATGAGTAGGCAAGTGAACTAGCACGGGAGATGTCCTAATGAAAAAACATTTCCCCACTTTATAAATTCTCTCTTAAAGGCGGAGGGTGGGACGAACAGCGTCAACCGAAAGTGCAACCCTCTGCGGAGATCGTGCGTGTCGAGTGCGCGAAATGCAGGCGAGAGTGCGATTTGCCGGGTGCGCGCACAACCCTCTGCGGAGATCGTGCGTGTCGAGTGCGCGAAATGCAGGCGAGAGTGCGATTTGCCGGCTGCGCGCGCAACCCTCTGCGGAGATCGTGCGTGTCGAGTGCGCGAAATGCAGGCGAGAGTGCGATTTGCCGGCTGCGCGCGCAACCCTCTGCGGAGATCGTGCGTGTCAAGTGCGCGAAATACAGGCGAGAGTGCGATTTGCCGGCTGTGCGCGCAACCCTCTGCGGAGATCGTGCGTGTCGAGTGCGCGAAATGCAGGCGAGAGTGCGATTTGCCGGCTGTGCGCGCAACCCTCTGCGGAGATCGCGCGTGTCGAGTGCGCGAAATGCAGGCGAGAGTGCGATTTGCCGGCTGTGCGCGCAACCCTCTGCGGAGATCGTGCGTGTCGATAGCCACGCAAAGACTTTGGCTGACAACAGGCAGTGGAAGCCAGCTTGCTGGCTGCCATTGTCCAGATGGAAAGCCAGCGCGTTGGCTACCATCATAGATCGTGCACCCTCGACGCCGCCCAGTTGGCCCAGATGGTCGCCGCCGTGTCTCCGGAGCGGACAACGCAGTGAGAGTCTCCCCGACGCAGGGTGTCACCTAGATGTTCACGTGGTAACCAACTGCATGTCTCATACCATGAATTCTTCCTTACAAATCCTGTGTGGACGTCGTTTTGCGGAAGCACGACAAGTATAGACATAGTGTCGGGGAGTCTCTGCCCTATACAAGGGCTAGTCGCGAGCTGAACGGCCAGAGCACACGAAAACATGCGCCGTGCCTGCTATGTGTCACCTCGTGCTACTTTCTTGCATGTTTCTGTAGGAGAGGCGATTGGAAAATGAGCAGCATAGTGGTTCTTAACTACATCTAAAGCGAAGCACATGTCACCCTCAGAGCGTGCCAACCGACTGTGCATTTTCCGTGGCAGAAGTCTCCATACAACTTGGGCCAACTACCACAATATCAACTCAACAGCAATGAAGAATATACTTGCAAGAAGTTTGAACGCGCCCCACAAGCTTTTGCAATATTCATTTCCCACATAAACCTTTACAAGGCAAACCGAGCCTTCTTATAGCTATGCATGTGCTATTTACCAATTTACAGCCCACTAGCTCGTAGGTCTCCCCCTTTGCCCAGCCATCATGCCAGGGAACCTTGGCATTGTTGAGGATCACTTCTTCAGCGTCGCCCATGATGACCAGAGACAGGTGTGCCTCTGTTGGTCCTATGGAAGGAGGACATACCATGACGACCAGCCAGAGCTCATCCATGCAAGATGGCCAAACCAGTCCATAGCAAACAGATACTGGGTTGCCCATGGAGAAACATCGCAGTTTTGGCGAGTGGTCCAGTGGTCCAGTGGATGGCGCGACTGGGTGAGGAACAACAGCCGCAACTTCACAGATGCCTACACCATCCAGATCTGCTTCGGGCGGACGCGCTAGACCCAACCAACTGTGTGTCTCATACCGTGACTTCTTCCTGATAAATTCTGTGTGGACGTCGTTCTGCGGAAGCACAACGCTATCCTTGCTGTGTACAAAGACTTGTCGCGAGCCGAACAGCGAGAGTGCGCTACAACATCTACCGTGCCTGCTGTGTGTCACCTCACGCTACTTTGTCCCGTTTTTCTCTGAGACAGTCAATTACTCAATGACAAGCATAGTGGTTGGTTAACTACATCCTAGAAAAGCTGTGTCCTGGAGTGAAGTAAACGTTTTTGCCCAGAAGATATATATCGATGGATGCCTTTCCTCTGACAGGTCACTGCTTCGAGACGCTTCTGGCGTGGCTGCCTCAGCATTTTCTGTGTTCATCCCAGCTCGGTTTTTAACCTCGTGCTACTTTGTTGCATGTTTCTGTAGGAGAGGCGATTAGGAAATGAACAGCATAGTGGTTCTTAACTACATCTAGAGCGAAGCACATGTCACCCTCAGAGCGCCTGCGCCAACAGACTGTGTATTTTCCGTGGCTGACCTGTCGGTGCTGACAGTGACATTGCAGAAGTCTCCATACAACTTGAGCCAACTACCAAAATATCTACTCAACAGCAGTGACGAATATACTTGGAAGAAGTTTCACGCAACCCACAAGCTTTTGCAATATTCATATCGCACATGAACCAGAGCCTTCTTATGGCTATGCATGCGCTATTTACCACTTTGCAGCCCACTAGCTCGTAGGTCTTCCTCTTTGCCCAGCCATCATGCCAGGGAACCTTGGCATTGTTGACGACCACTTCTTCAGCGTCAACCAGGATGACCAGAGGCAGATGATTCACACGTTATTGTTCAGTCTGCAGTGCAGCATGTGGTGATGCAATTGTTGAGATGGCAAAGCCAGCACGCTGGCTACCATCATAGTTGAAGTGGGTAAGCCAGCACGCTGGCTGCCATTGTCCCCTTACCAGCAGCCCAAATGCTCACGACGATGAGCTGGGCTGTCACCGCTTGGCCGCCGGTGGGGGGTTTGGGAGGCCGCATCACACGCAGACACCCACACACTCCCTCAACTTACACGAACACACACATACGCAGACTCATTTCCACACGGACATAGACACACGCAGAAACCCACACACTACCTCAACTCACTCGACTTCACACTTCTTACTGCACACTTACCGGATAACTCGCACTCTGACTTCCTACGTGATGAAAAATGCTTTCGGGCCACTCGTCGTCTAGTTATAATGGTGTCAAAAAACAGATGTTTTCAGGTCAGAGTTCTGTGAATCAGGCAAGACGTAGTAGTAGTAGTAGTAGTAGCAGTAGTAGTAGTAGTAGTCGTAGTAGTAGTAGTAGTAGCAGTAGTAGTACCAGTAGTAGTAGAAAAAAAGTAATCGTCGTCGTCGTCGTCGTCGTCGTGGTCGTCGTGGTCGTCGTGGTAGTAGTAGTAGTAGTAGTAGTAGTCGTAGTCGTAGTTGTAGTCGTAGTCGTAGTCGTAGTCGTAGCAGTAGTAGCAGTAGTAGCAGTAGTAGTAGTAGTAGCAGTTGCAGTAGCAGTAGCAGTAGTGGTGGTGGTATAAGCAAGGATCTTAAAGGGCAACAATAGCAGAAGAATAGAAACACATACATTTCTTTAAAAGACGATACCCTGGGTGGAAAATAATATTCCCTCCTATTAAACTAATCAGGGTGTGAAAACATATATGTTTGCAAAACAAAAGGATTTCTATTCTCTCCCACTATACTAGTTGGGATCCGACAATACAGCAAAACAAATGTCAGTCTTGTGGTTTGTTCTTGCTTCGGGGCTTGCTTCCTACAACTCTCCAGTCTCGCATAAGATCCCATAGACACTTGCAGGGCAACACCCTTGCCATTGTGACACCTCCTGACATTGTAACCTTGGTCGGAATTCAGTCTGCAAATCCAATTCCCGGATATTTGGGGCATGGAATTTTATATGATTTTTATGACATTTGTTGAAGTTGCAGTTCACTTCTCGCCAACAGACGTGCTCAAACAATTGGATTTGAAGACTGTGTCACACAGAATCGTGGGCCGTCTTGCAGCAATTGGCAGCTCAAACCGAAGGTTTGCTTCAAGCGACTGGTCCAAGTGGGCGTGAATACCGTCGCCACAGAGGAGACCAGAGTGTGGGAGTTCTGCGGTGGCTCCTGGAGGCTTCACCAGCAAATTGGAACTCCCCCAGTGGGGTCGCCCCCATCGAAAGCGATGTTTTGTTGAGAAATTTGTTGCATGGTGCTGGTCCCACAGTCGGACTCGGACAAGAAACTATATAAAGAGTTTGACAGTCTGAGAGGGGAGTTCCAAAGGAGTGGGCTTCAGACTCTTCAACCTTTTTGGTGAGTTTACACCCCTATCCTCAAAGAACCTGTTTTGGGGAACCTCTTGGAAGATTGTGCATTTGAAGGGAAAGCGCGGAAAGCCCCTGCCCCAGCAGAGTCTCAGCTCTCAGCAATGCTGGCTCCAAGGAAGCTGCGGCACTTTCATCGCTCACATGGCTGAGGAATACCGATGAGTTCGACTGTGCGACAGGTGCAAGCCCTGCAAGGAGAAGGCTGGCCAACCAAGAAGTTCGGGCTGTTTCAAGCGCGCTCATGGACTTACAGTAGGGCCTGCAGCCTGGTTTTTTGGGTCGTGGTATGTGTGTGTGTGTATGTTGAACTGTGCTATACAGCTTGATATGCGCTCTATATGACTTATAGATATGGCAGAAACCCTGAGCCTGACGCAAGGTACAAGCAAATGGAGGATGAAAGGGAGCCTATGGAAGCGTGCAAAAAGCAAGTGGGCCTCGTTTGGATTGTTGCCTGGGACGACCTGGTCACTGACTGACTTTCAACACCAACGAACATTCGTTGGAGCATGCGACACGATGCGTCACCTTTGTAGATGAGTAGATTATGATGGATACACCCTGGAAATTCACATGGAACCTGAAAACCACTGGGTTGCGGAAAATCGTCTTCTAGAGTTCCATTCTCAGGTTCCATGTTAGTGAGTCGGAGTGTAGACAACATCCAAACAACATGGTCCTATGCGATGTCTCGCCGTGTTTGCCGAGGCCGTGCCGCTGGGCGAGGACATCCAGTGACCCAGCGATGCGATCAGGGCAGGTCTGTCGAAGGTTCCTTTCAAGGGCAGGTCTGTCCAGAAGTTTCAGGTTTGGAATGTAGGTATTCAATGATTTCCTGCACAGCCAGCACTGAAAAAGTCCTGGAAGAAATGAAACGCCATGAGCTGTGACATTTAAAGTTTCCAGCACTCAGCAGCCCTTGGCACACTCCAAGGTAGGCTGAGTCCAAGACTAGATCAAATATGTAATTTCCTCTCACAACTGGGAAAAAGGTGTTATGCTAAAATAAGATGTTAAACCACCAAGTCAGTAACCTCAAGGCATCTCAAGGCCCAACGGGCCCTGCCCCTGTTTTCTGCATTTTACTGCCATAAACGCATGTGGACAACCAATCAAGTCATGACGCGTAAGGGTTCCGCAACACCTCAGTAACAAGAAGCTACTACGGGCTCCTGGCCTTACTATTAGGAGCAAGAAAGCTACTAGGAGCAAGGGCATCGCTGCGAACGGAGCGGTGGCGCTGCCATGGTCGGATCCGCAGCCGCGACCCTCGCGGCCGATGAACCTCGACGACTCCCCAGTCGGAGCTCTGTGTCGAGCCCCGGCGGCTCGGTCGAAGCTCGGGGGCTCCGCGGAGCCAACATCCGTCGTCGGACGACCGTCGAGATCGTTGATAGGACCGGTAGGAATAGCATGGAGAGTTGAACACCCCTACCGAACGGCTGCCGAAGTCCTCCAATGACTTGCCAGCATTTGCCCCAGCTATAGAGTCCGTATCACGACCGGTCAAAAGTCAAATGTCCACTACTGCGACTGTGATAATTGATAAACACGCACGCGCACACACACACACACACACTTGTGTTCAATTGACGTCACTGCAAGCAGACGATGTTTTGGACGTCTCTCCATCGGGGTTCTATACAATGAAGATCAGTGAAGATTTGCATTCGAAGCATTGGAGGGCATTTTGCCTCACTCAGTGCCTCGAATTTTCTCATTCTTCCTCAGTGAGGCACCTTGTGGGCCGGACTCGCCATGGCCTTGGGCTTCTCCGTCTTGGCAGCAGCACCTGGGCCTAGGAAGGGCAGGACTCGGATGATGAGATGATGGCATGGATGGTTCCAACATGGTTCAACCGTTCCGGCGTGTGGGATCATGCGGAGTCCTGATCGGGAAAGACCTTGCGGTTCGACATGCTTCGACCCTGCCCTTTGAGAGGATTGCTTGGATTTTGAGGGTCACTTATTGTGGCCAACGGCAGTGGATCCGAGTGGTCCACCGAGTGATAAACCAACCAATCAACCTCAAGAATGTTTGAAACATTCAACCCTTCATGAGTGATAGGGTTGGTCACCCTCATGGGGTGATAAACCAACCCTCATGTCCTACTTCGCTTGGGTTGTGACCCATCAGGCGACGAAGGCGACCGGGACCCGCCTCTCCTCGTATGTGCCTCGGTGGTGATTGCAGCGCGCAGGTGAGGTGGTGTCGATCGCGCAGAGGGTCCGTAAGTCCGTAAGGGTTACAGAGTCATAGGAGGTCTTATGAGGTCTTGCATTTATGTTTACTTGATTTTTTGTTAGGGTGACAAGGTCGACGGGAATGCGTGTGTTGGTTGCTTGGAGTATTTCAGCCCATCGAAGTGGTTGATTTCAGGCCCATACCGTTTCGTAACTCAATCGCCCTCGAGTTGCCAAGTCGTTGGAGTTGATTGATCGACATGCAGCAGCCGGTTTTGAATGTTTGGAATGCGTTGAGATCAGTCAGGTCGATACTCCAAAAGCAGAAACAAGCTGATCGTAAGCGGTGCACCGGTTCCAGGCGACTTTGAAGGGGTAGAGCTCGCAACGCCGAAGGATATGATGTAACTAATCACACCTGGCATTGTGCCTCCAAAGAATTCTTCAAGCACTCAACCAGCCAGGCATTTTGAGAGGGGATCGAAGTGCTTTGACCGTGTTTTCAGCGATTTGAGCCCCACACAGATCATCACAGATCCAGCTGGGCAGCAGTGCTGCCCGAGCGTCATAGACAAGCCGGGCCGTCGCCGCAGTCACCGCAGTCACCCTTTTCATTTGTTCATCAGCAACCGGACCCTACACAAACATGAAGCAGACAAGCCGGGCGAGTCGAGGATCACACGTCGAAAACAGCTCACCACCCTTAAAATACTGTTTGTTCGAACAGAGTCTATCTGGCTTCGAGCCTTTAGCTGGACTTGGTTTTCCCCAAAAAATGACGTCTTCCCTCCATCCTCCTCCATCCCTCTCTCCAACTCTCTTACCACTCTTCCCTCCCTTTGAACCAAAAAGGAGCGCATCTTTCTCCGGAGCTGCTGCTGCGTGATCCTGGCTCCGGTCGACGGTGAGCGTTCGCTGCCTCCGCTCCTTTTGCTCCTTGGTCGTTAAAAGGGCCAATGGAGGGGTTCAAGGAATCAAGTGGTGTTTCGATCTACAGCGGTTTCAGAGTAGTAGATGGAGCAAACTCCAAGAGGACTTTTAGATGGGGGTGTTTAATAACCACCTAACTAACTTGAGTGATTGGGCCATCTACTCTGAAACCGCTGTAAAGCCAATTCATCCATTAATACCTATGAACTATTTAAGAAATAGGGGTAATATAGGGGGACTCGCAATTGCACCGAATTTAAAACACCTGTGGGAAGAGGGAGAAAGAGCAAGACTCTGTGGTTACAGATGGTTGCGCTATCCCTGCGCTGAGGTCACCCAACCGTCGCTTGCTCCTGCTGCGCGGGCTGCTGGGTTTCATAGCAGCTCCTTGGCCGGTGAATTTGGAGTCTTCTAAACAGGCCCAGGGAGTTAGCTTATTTGCTCCTAGTAGCGATGCCCTTTGGTACTAGTAGCGAACATTGCTCCTAGTAGTAAGGCCAGGAGCCCCTAGTAGCGTCCTTGTTACTAGTAGCGATGCTAGGAGCTACTAGCAGATCAATTCATATCATGGTTAGCTGGGTCTGGAGGGGAGCACTATAGGAGGTTCGTTTGGTGCCGGCGCGATATCGGGGAGGTTAGGGCAGCTGGGTTAGCATGAGTCCATCTCCCACCCCCTACTGTTTACTGCATAAATACTGATATCTTCTCAGCCCTCAAGCCCAGAATCAAACCAGCTGCAAGACACCCATGAATGTAAGTGCAGGACAGGAGTTCGATGGATTTCGGATACTTTGAGTAGGCTACCTAAGTTAAGAAACCTTATGAGTTTGCTGAGCCGGCTTGGGCAAATGAGGCCAGAGAAAAGTTTGTCCACCTCAGCAATGCAGTGCTAATTGGTGACTTGAGGATTTTGAGGATCTTATCAGTGATCTTATTTATCATAAGTACCTGTCTTTGCCCATTCTTTTCCAAAGTTGTATCAGACAACTTCTTTATTTATATCCAGCTTTTGGTTTCTTGGGTAAAACATATGCGCGTTAGCAGGATGAGCACAAAGAGTCCCAACGACTCAAGTTGGCCAGGTGTCCGCCTACTACGAGGCCATTGCGCGGATCCCGTTGGCCACACTCACGCTGATTTCCAGGCGATGCAAAAACACATTGCTGGTGCTTCATCCGTGTTTCACCACCCAATTCTCTTGGAAAGCTGAGCACGATTGAACACGGTAACCAAAAAATGATAAACATGTTATTGAAGGACCTGTGACAGATGTCCGTTCAGAAGAGATGGTGACGGATTCCATGGGAGATGGGAGAAGCAAAAGGCCTCCAACCCCCGGGAAGTTTGCTCGTAACTGTGTGCAGATATGTTGTCGAGAACTTGAGAGCCGAGCCTTGTATAGACATAAAAACAATACAAACCATATTTATATAGATGTATCAATAGGTATCTCAAGACCAGGAGGCGCAGTGGGCAAATGAATTCCCTTATGGATTCCATGGATGAAACCGCGTGTAAAACCGCATGACAGAGACTTTGTTGAAGCCCTGCGGATGTCCTCAGGTCTTCTAGCTTCACCCCGCCCACCGCCGCACGCCCACGCCAGGTTGCATCCGTTGCTGTCCACTGCCCTGGCTGGGCTGATCTTAGGTGAGCCTGTGCCACGTCAACAGCTTGGTGTTTTGCTGGTGGCGACTCTGGGAACTGCTTTGCTGGCACCAAGACAGGACTGAGAGATTTGAGAGGTGATTCGCCACAACTGAGCGAGATATTGACAGATGCAACACCACATTGCACTGATACTCTTTTGGCCCCCCATGATTTGCACCTCCAAAGCAGTTTAGAAGAAACTGTGTTTTTGAAGCTGTTACAGAGGCCTCAACACTGCCAAAACCGTTGCCTCCAATTCCATTGAATACCTCCTTTCTGAAGACATTTGAACACTGACAGGTTTCAAGGACCAGTTTCACCGACTTAGGATCGCTTTTGCTCAAAGAGATCCTGCTTTTTCAGGACCTTTTTTCTACTGGCACGTCTTGGGGCTATGCAGCTGCGCTCTTCGCCGCCTTCTTCACTGCTGCAGCGTTGCTGTGTGTGCGAACCTTGGCCGTGCTGGGGGAACCGGCGCACCATGCGCGAGAGGCCTTCCATTGGGGAAACCTTTGTGGTGCCTTGGCCTTGGGCCTCCCCCGAGGCGGGATCCAAAATGATTCGCCACATTGGGTCAATGGGTGAAAGATGTGTTTGACATGTCAACACATCAACCAACCACCACCAACCACCAACCACCAATTGTCCGCTCCTGTGTTTGGTGAAGTTGTTAACATGTGGGGATATCCGGTCCTATAATTGTTCTTAGAATTGTTTTGTGAACTGGTGTTAAATGCGGTGTGCCCATGCGTTCATTGTTTCATAGATTCAACAACCTTTGTTGCATCGTTGTTTGAAATGGTTCATAGTCCCTTGGTGCAAAGGTATTGTTGAGTGGAACCTTTATAGGCGGGCAGAACATGTTTCTCCATAGATTAACAATGTTGTTTTTTTTTTTTTTTAGAGTTGGTTTTTACAGCCACGTGGTGCATATGTCTTCTAGAGCACCTTTGAATCCTTTGATTCATGTTTGGACCTCGCCTGGACCTCGCCTATTTGCCACCTCCTCTCAGTGAAGTTTCTCCATTTCCTTTCAACCTTGTAAGGTTCTGTGATACTTGTAAGGTGGTGTAGAAGTGAGCAAGGAAAAAAGAGTGCAGTGTGAGCACTCCAACAATCCTTGCGTTGACATGGGGAAATGTGGCTTCAACCCCTTTGTGTGCAAAATTTCTACCACTGAAACGCAAACTAAATGGATGTATTGTTCAACATTGCTTGAAATCCGGCCTAGAACACTCTCAAGGATTTGTTGCCTTCACAATGTGCGAAACGTCGAAGGGAATACACATGAGGGATGACTTCCTGCGTTCACTGCGTCCCTTTTGGGGGAATACAGTACACCAAAGGGACGCACATCGGGATGACATTGTCGTGGTTTCTCGGGTGTCGGACTTGGCAGCTTGGCATGGCTCCACTTGACCCACTCCCCTTCCCTTTGGCAGCTTCGTTTTCCAACGCCGCGGCAGGCTTTGCATGGCCGACGGTCAACGAGGCGAGCTGGATCCTCATCACCGCTGTGTCGATGCAACTAGTGCCCTGGCAACGCCACCACTGTTGCTGCAGTGGGCCATGGTTTGCACCATGATTTGGGTGAAAAATGGAGAAACAACATGTACAATGTTGGTCCCACACGTCAAGCGACCAAAGACCAGCGCCACTCCACTCACGTCGCTACTACTACTAGTCACGCCTCGGACGTGTGTGACGATCGAGCCACGGTCGATCGGACGCCAAGGCCCAGCTGGCCCTTACATATGTGCTTCGAAGCCCAGTGGTCAGCGCCACAAAGCCTCTTAGCACAAAAGAACTTATTTATATTTCAGGTCTACCGAGATCTACCGTACAAAACTGGAAGGCTCAATTCCAACTGGGGTGAAGGTTCATGAGCTAGGAATTCGGTTGGGGGGCCACCTATTTGATGTTCCAGCACTTTCTTCAGTTGCAGCGATCCCATCCAAAATGATGGTCGGAATTCTACTGAAGCCTACTTTCTTCCAGCCGCCTGTTCAGCAATGTAACTGGGATGGGTTTTCGGCACACACACACAGCGCATCACAGCACACACACACACATATATATATATATATAAACTAACAGTCGTACGTACTTTGCATTCTTTCAGTGTGGTTCCTCCCTACACCCAGCACCAGATGGCGACTCGAGGGTCAGGGCTCGGCCAGGTTCAATGACGAGGCTCGTGACAACTGACAATGAAGCGGTGGAAGACTGCGGAAGACATATTTCATATTCCTCGGCCAACCTTTTGTAGCCCTGAGCAAGAAAACCACACAGAGCCTGAACATCGGCCTGTGCCATGGTTTTTGCGGTCTTTCGCTCGTTGTAGCACCGGTCGAGCGAGCTCGTTCAGTCTCAGTGATCTTTTTCGACCGGAGTGGATGGACACCGACATGGACACCGACAAGGGTGGACACCCCTCCGATCCGATCCGATCTCCTGGCACTTCAAGCATCCCGAGGTACTTCTTCTTGAACGTGGTCCTCAACTTAGCCTTCGGAGTTCTGCTGGGCGATCCCTGGCCCTCGGCGCAAGAGACCCTGGGTGCACTGGTGATCCTGCTCAGCATTGCTGTGAGTGCCAGGGAGGACGCCAAAGGCAAATCCTGAAACAAAGGACCGAGACTCAAGATTGCGCAGGGTGGTGACCTCCGGAATTTGGACGTGATTCCATTATGTGCCATGATGTACCCACATATTGGATCAGATAGGTGTGCATGGCCCATTTCCAGCACGTCTCTGAGCCAAAAGGTCACTATCGCTATAATTACTTACAAAGGCTATGATCAAAGCCATCTCAGGCACAAGATTCATCTATTCATATCTATTCTGTTTTGAGATTGCAGCAGCATTTGGTCCTCATAAGGCATACTGTCACAGCTGTCAAGAAGTGCACGTACGCATACACTTGCATAGATATGCATAGATATGATAATGCATGCAGTACAAGCCCACGCCAGATCATCGACAAACAATTCTACAAAAAACTCAAAAAAACAATTCTTAGCGAGAGCCAGCCGATAGGCTAGGCTTAGGCTGGAGTGCTTGATTGATGGGCGAACGACATGAGTATTTGCTTTTAGGATAGAGTAAGCCCAGAGCCTGGTGGGGGAGAGACAAAAAAAGGTGATGCACAAATGTAGTCAAAATGCATGCTTATATATAAGGGCTTTTGGCATGCTAGTGATGCCTAAAGATTTAGTAGGCATCAGTAGCATCGCAAAGTTGCAAACATATCATTTAAGCGGAGTCAAATTGCGGCACCGATGCGGTCAGCTGTAAAGATGGCAACCTGCAAAGCACGCGTGTTATCACTGTAGCGTTTTCTGTATACGGGAAGAAGAATTGGCGCCAGCAAAGGAGCGCTATTTTCAGGGATTTGGATCTAGCTGTGTCTCCCCAAAGCAGCTGTACAGAAAATACGTTGAAAGGCTGTTTTTTGGCCCTGCTGTAAAGACAATCTACCGTGGCAAGCTTACTGCACAAAAGAGCCACGTAGACTGCCGCATTTCCTGCGCAAGCCGAGTACATAGAAGATTGCATAGACGGCATTCTGCATGATGTACCTTTGAAGTCTTTCATTGAGAGCGCGGGCTTGACAACAAATTTTGACGCAGGGGTGTCGCTGCTATAAAGATCCCGACGAAGAAGACCATGTGTGGTGGATGAAACACAGGACTAACGGACGCAACGAAGAGGCCATGTGTGGCGGTGCCCTTTTTTAATCGTTGTTAAAGTTTTAGTGAAGAAAAAAAGGGCACCAGCTAAGGAGTGCTATTTTCAGGATCTAGCCGACCCCCCCAAGCAGCTGTAAAGAAAATGCATTGAAAACACAGAAAAAACTATGTTTGCGGCCTGTTTGAAGGGCATCTGTAGGTAGCACCAAATTTTCCTGGAAAAGACCTTACGGGATACTTTGTTTTGCTGCAGCTGCAAAGGCATATGAAGCTGGCGAACACCAATTCGAGGTTCCTGTTGCTGTTGTTGTCCTCAGTGTCTACGAGGGCTGGTTTCGTCCCCTCCCTTCTCAGGTGCTAATATATATATATATATATATACAGTATATAACAATATCTTAAACAGTCAACCACTCTTAAACAACAACGGACTTATCACTGCTCTTTGAGTTTTTGGCGACTTCTGAAGGTACGGATGGCCAGACCCAATGAACTCGGAGTCTCTTTGGCTGGACTTGGAGGTCAATGGCCAGAGGCACACCCCATGCGGATTTGCCGCGGAGAACGATGCAGAGCATGGGCAGCGGAGGGGGTGATTTGACACGACATGAGGGGTGTAGACATGGTTTTGGTGGGTAAAGCTCACAACACAAAGACAAGAATGAACCGATAGTTTTCACTGGCTAAAATGTTCTGGTGGGACGTACTACTGTAACACCAGATAACACCAGCCATGTGCAAAAGGAGTTGTTCATGGAAATTGATGATAGGCCTTCCCGAAAAGTCGCATATCCCTTCCTTTGTGGCCCATTTTGGAAACAGACGGCACAGCGTTTTTTTTTTTTTTGTGGTGTGTGTGTGTTAAACAAAGCCTGTGTGTGATAAAAATTTTCCTGATTGCTGCCCTTTCGACAAAACAAGGGACACATAGAAAACCTTCGGAACAACAAAACAAGGGACACATAATTCAGAACAAAACAACACTGTTGTCCAGACCTTTCCAGCACTCGAAATTTCAGGCGTGGCCGTGGGGGAACGGCAACCAGTCTCAGACTTGCCAGTCTCACCTTTCAAAACAGGATGACACATCAGTGCGTCAGGCGCGTCAATGAGTTGTGGGTCATGTTTGACGACCTGGCGGCCAAGCCCTTGCTGTTGCAAAGATATTTGTTGTTAAATAAATGCCAAAAAGTCTTACGCAGTGGATGATGACGACCGCAGCAGGGTGCCCACCACTGATGCCGCTGCAATGTTTCTGGCGCCACACGCCAGGCACCGCATAGACATGAAGCATTCCCAGCAGATTCAACTCACAGGCAACGATCTGGGTGTGGAGTTGGGGGGGCACAGATGAGCAACATGCGAGGATAGGGAAGCTGCGGCAGCTGTTTGATCTGGTGATGAAGCATGATGACGAACTAAAAACTCGAGGTTTTGGATGGTTTTGGACTTGAAACCTGTCAGTGACACTTCGGGATTTTTGGCGACCTGCTTCCGGCGGAGTGGCTTCGCAGAAGCTTTCATGCATCGTGGGGTCTTAGGACCTAGGAACCTGGACATCCGACGCATTTCAGGCTGCACCACCGGTGGAGCCCCATGTGCGGCCGGTCCAGGTTTCAACATCTCGGTGTTCTGGACAGAGGCCCAAATGGCACGGCGCCAAATGAGGTAACAGACGTGTCAGTCCGCGTATGTCGGTGTCAGTCCGGGATTCTACACTCTACAGTGACTCCAAGAAAGATACTTCCAGGATAATTATGGATAAATGATATGATAGTGAGATTGGTTGTGAAGCTGAGGTTCTACGGGTCTCGGACGACGCTGGAGGCAAAGCCGAGAATCGTTATGAAGACAATTCACATAGATTGACAAAAGCTCCTCCGAGCAAGAAGGTCCTTTTTCAGAATTTGCAAATCGCAGATCCACAGGAAGGGAGTAGGGGCTGTGGGGGTTCCTTTGACTGAGTGCTGGCCAGGAGCGGCCACAGAGGCGCAAGCAGCTTGCAACAAAACCATCAGTTTAGATGTTGAGAATTGATCGCTGGTGATTTGCCATGTTGTTTGCAGGCATGCTTCATGCTCCTTACTGTTTTTTTTTCAAGCGGACAATTTCATTTCAGCTTCATGCTCGCGGGAGAACGGCCATTGACATTGGGGATGGGAAGGGCAAGTGAATATAGTAAATTGAAGTTGGAGAAATGATGATCGTTACGATTGCTCACACAAATGAATACACCTCAATCTTCTGAATCTTCCAGGATTGTTTTGGATTTGGAAGCTAGAGGCACCAAAGGGGAGAGTTGGGCCAGTCCGAAATTTCATAATCCAGAAAGGTCTTGCCCAGCATACTGAAGCATGCGCCGCTATGAGCCTATAACAGTCTATCGAGCCATAGTTCTTTCGTCTCACGTGAGACAGCACGTCCCACCAAACGTCCCACTGGGCGAGACCCAATCAATCATGAGGGGCCCACTGCTTCCGATCCATCCGTGCCTTCCAGCCTCATCCGCGCGCACATCGTCACCTCGTCCCTCCGGTCACTGCGTTTCGCTCAGCTTTTTTGGTCCGACGATGTCGGCCTCGCCAGCTTTTTTTTTGGTCGCAGGCTTGCCGTTGGTCTCACAAGGCTGAGCTTCGGTGGTGAGGAGTGCTTGCTTCATCCAGAATCGAATCAGATTTTAACAGGCCTTACATGTTTCCAGTACCTCCAACAGTTGCAACATGTTTCTACCAATTGGGTACCCCCTATACATACACGCATACACATGTTGCTGGACTGTGAAAATCTCACTTACTCCATCCAAAAAGAGCCAGGTTTCAACTAAACATTCCTTGTGGGCACAAGATTCAGGTTTGGGGCTAATGATTTCGGTAGACTCGCCCTTACATCTCAATGTTCGCCTTCCACTATAGTTTGTATCAGGTTGTGCCCTCAGGTTGCCCTCACCACAGCTCTTTACTGCAGAGTTGTTCCCACGAATATCCCGTTGGTCCTTAATCAGCAGGGGGCAACAAACCTTTACACCAAATTATCACCAATGGTCAACGAGACCCAAGTTATGTGATCCGACCGTTAGGATTCTCAGACTGCATGGTGTGCACTTCGCGGTGCGCAGAGAGATTGCTATTCCCTTGAAAGATTGATGTAAGTGTTCATTCTGGTCGTTTTCCAACGAGGGAGACGGTTTCAATCTTGCAGGTCCAAAACCATGCAAAGTTCCAACATTCAACGTAATATGTAAACGTTTGCCCTTGCAGATGCTTTCTTGTTGTTTTTTGCAACTTTGGTTGTTGATTGATGACAAACGTTGAGTTGTTTACTGCATTGGGCTGCGGCTCAGGTTGAAGTGAAGCTAAGCCGAATAGGCTTGGAGGGCATGATCACGGGAACGCTTTGATGTGGCGGGCAGTTGTGGAAAGGTTGGCACAATCATGGCAGGCGCATCAAGAGCTACTGTAGATAATACAACTAGTACCGTCCTTGCTACTAATAGCCATGGTCTCCAACCTACTAGCTTCATGCTCCTAGTAGCGATGCCCTTTGTTCCTAGTAGCAATGCCAGGAGCTACGAGTAGCTTCTTGCTGCTAGTATAGCTATATAGAGAGATATTGGCTTGCCGGCTTTGAGGCAGCCTGGGGTTTCAGAGAGAGGATTGACTTGCACCGGTGGACGGGCAGAGGGTCCTGTACGAAGACTTTGATATGGAAGTCAAATGCCACGGGCACCATATGGCACCATGGCTTACAAGAACCACTATATAAAGAAGTGCAAACCAGGGGAGGTGCTGTGATTAACCTTTGGCAAGCTGTCGAAAGCACATGCAGAATAGACATGCTGCAAAATAGAGAAGCTGTTTCAGATTCCATGCGAGACCCTGGCCCTCGAAATTTGCATGATCAAATGATGATTAGAGTGGAGTCAAGCAGCAAGCCCGGTGTTGCGCAACTCAATGCAGTCAATGACACTTCTGTGGCGCTTGCAGAACTGGTATCCGGAGAATGGGTTTTCAAACAAATGATCAACGGATGAAGGGGGTTGCTTTGGATGCGATTGTTTCAGCCTAACACATCACTTCTTGGTTCACGCCGATCTCCTGCCCAACGAGGCGTGTCATGCATTGTTGGAGGGCGAAGCCCAGCTGAGCTGACGGCTGAGCTAAGGGTCATGTTCTTCCGTTGGATGATGTTGGATGGTTTTGCGATGTTTTGTGTGCTGAGGATGTTGAGATCAGATGACTGTGCCTTTAGGGTTTCCAGATTGATTTCTTGGATGTTGTTCCTGCAAGTTTGGATGGGTGTCCTGCAAACAGTGGCTTTCGTTATTTGCATCAATGTGAGATGTTGTAGACTCATGTGACTCATATCTTGGTGCCCTCACAGTGGAAAGCCAGTCTTTGATATCAAAACGGGTGCTGAAAAACTGCAACTGGCAGTTCACAACACTAGGGCTCTTACGTGTTGGAGACACTGAGAGGATCTGAAGGGTGCAGGCGGGCCGATGGAAGCTCTTGAAGAGACCCGGATCAAAGCAACCAATTCGGATCTCTTTGCTTTGGTTCGTAGGACATTCGCCGACGGAATGCAACATCACCACGATGGTGATGTTTGTGGTTGGGAAGGGCAGTTGATCTCAATCATATCGGTGGCATACCATGTTCTGTACCCCGCGAGCCTTTGCATGCCGAGCCGGAGCCTGTCGAAAATTCCAAGGCTGATCTTTGGCCAGCTGGAAGTGATCCGGATGGAGCTGCGGGCAGGCGCTCTTGCCAAATACCTGGCCCATGGGGATGTTTTTCAATCGTGGCTTAATTACACCGATGCAGCCATGAACTGCAGTGAAAAGGTGTTCTCTTCAGTAGTTTCCCTTTCAAAGGCTGGTCCATTTTCCATTTCTTGATGCTCCTTTCCTCATGCACCATTCTGGCTCAGAACCGAGACAGACACTGTCCCGCATGAGCCCGTCGTGACCATGGCTGAGGCACCGGCCGAGGATGCGGCCGTGCCAGTAGAGGCCACGGGAGAGGGCAATGAGTCGCCCAAGGGGAAACGGCCTGGCTTCAAGTCGCAGTTGGCCAATCCGCCCAAGTGGACTATGGCTAGCAAGCCGAAAATGATCATTGGAGGGCCAGTTCCATCTTGGCAGGAAAGCATTCCAGGACCCCAGTACAACTACTCCACCGACAGCTTCAAACACAAGCAGCCTGTGTGGTCCATGCGCACCAAGCCGGAGATGGTCATTGGTGGCGGTGTTCCTTCATGGACTCGCTCCATCCCCGGACCCCAGTACAGCTTCCCCACAGACTGCTACAAGGAGCGCCAGCCGGTCTATAGCATGCGCGGGCGTGGAGAGGATGCCCAGAAGATCACACAATCAGCTCCTGAGATCTCAACGGATCAGCTGATGAAGGGCTTGGATGCTTCGCGCAAGAAGCCGCCCAGCTGGAGTTTGAAGTCAAGGCCTAAGATGGTGCCAGGTGATGCTGTGCCCTCCTGGGTGAACTCGATCCCAGGTCCCAAATACCATCCGCCCTGCGACTCCTTCAAGAAGAAGTCACCTGTTTACTCCATCGGGCAGAAGCTGCCCAGCGAGTCTGACTTGATGAAGGTCAGAAGCCCAGGGCCCTTGCGCTACAGTGGTCCTGCCATGGATTCCAAAAAACAAGAGCTGGTGGACAGCACCAGGAACAAGAGCTTCTCCTGCTCTTTTGGCGTGGGACCACGTTGGAAGGGTCCTGTCTCCGAGATGGTGATGACCGGTGCCCTGGCTCGCTATGACCGCCCATGTCTTTGACCGATGCGCGAAATCCGGGACCCGTCGACCTGCGACCGGCCCCTCCGTAGGAGGGGTGGCTTGCCCGGGTGCCTTTCAGGGAGATCCGCCGAAGGGCGCTCACTGAGTCACTGAGGGCAGAAAAGGGAGCGGAAGAGAAGGACGTGCCAAGGATGCGCTTGAGAGCTTCAGTGTGACATGCTGAGTTGATGTAGCACATTGGAGAAGTCATGATTCCCCCAATAGCCTGTAGAAACTGCACATAGCAGATTGTGGAATGGAGATGAATGGAGGTCACCGTGTTTGATTTTACATGTTACATGATGTTACTTTGATTTCACTCAAGAATCTGATGCAGTTCTAACAGTACAAGCTTAAGTTAGTGCCACACGGCAAGGTGTTGGTGAGCCACAGCAACTGCGGCTGTCGATCGCAGCAGCCCAGGCCAGGGCAGCTTAATTAGCTGACACTCTTCGAAGTTCAACATGGGTGGACTCAAGCAACCTTGGACGAGTTTGGCTCAGGAAAATCCTGGAGGGCCCCCTCCCCCTCTCACACTCACACTCGCTCACTCTCCCACTCTCGCTCTCACTCTCACTCACTCTCCCACTCCACTCTCTCCCTCCCTCCCCTCCCTCCCTCCCTCCCTCTCTCTCTCTCTCTTTTTTGTTCCCTTCTTGCGCTGAGGGTGCGCGATGCTTTCAAAACTGGTAACGATCATCAATAAAGTTCTGATCCGGTGGCCAGGTCAAAAAGCCAATTCCATATTATAGATAATTATATAGTTATAGTAGTAGGTAGGTTCCTTTTGTGAGCGTCACGCAGTGCACTGGTTTGATTCGTAATGTGCCTGCCATTGACACGGCGACTGGAAAAAAATCCAACGCACTGCCACCACGAAACAAAGTGATCTGGCAGCGAGTGGTTATAGCAACTGCCTTATGAAAGCGGAGAGAAAGCAGCCTGCCAAGAGAACTATTCAATGGGTCGTCCCAAGCTCACGTTAGGTCGGACGACCTGTTGCACGTGTTCCTTCCTTTGCGCGATTTCAGAGTGATCGCTCAGGTAGATTGCCAACTGCCAGATCGTGTGGATTGCCAGCTTCCCGGCACCCTCAGAGATGAGACAATTTCTTGACCTGAAGAGACAGCTGCTAGAGCCAATTCGGTGAACTAAAAACGCGGTGTTGTCATCTCCGGCCTCAGTTGGCTAATGACTTGAAGGCATGAGGCTAGGAAGGGCTTTGGTGAAGGGCAGAAGGGCCTCTCTCTCCCTCTCTCTATGTCTATAGATTTCCATAGATTTCCTAATTCACAGGACGGTTGCAGCTTAAATCTATTGAGGCTTACAGCTGCTTCGGCTCTGCCTTTGCTCACAGCACCTTGTCGGATTGTCCGGCTGTTGGATCCGATGCTCCAAGGCCGATCGAGTGGATTGACCAGGTTGCCCGCAGCAACCTAAGGATGTTCGATGTTGCTTCGGAGGTTCTTTTTCTCCAGAAACTGCTTGGGGAAGCTGCGGGGAAGGGACAGCAATTTAAGAAACGGTAGAGCTATGAGCTTTGCACTTTGAAGAAGTTTGTGGCTGTTTGACAAGCCCGGGGCAGGAAGAAACCACATGGTCACATGGGTATGAAAGAATCAAGAACCCATGGGGTTCCTGCTTTGGGGAAACTTGCCTTGGCGTGTTTTGATGTCTTGAGATCGTAGATGAAGTTGGTTGCTTGCTGTGCTAGCGCAACCTGAAAGTTACCTTGACTTTTGACACAGAACGACCGGCTGGCGAATCCCAGAGAGCTAGTCAGCTAGTCTCTCTCGTTTTTCCGGTTCTCCCGTTGAGGCCGTGATCTTCGCGAACCGTGCGGAGGGAGGCGAACTTGCTTTGTGCGGTAGAAAGGACATCGGGTGGCAAAAGCATCTTCCTTGCCATGCGCAGGACGAGCATTCTTGAGCCAGTGGCCCAGAGAGAGGGTTGCGGTTATTGCATGTTATTGCATCACCAACTCAGAGCAAGCCCTTGCCCGATCCCTCCTGCTTAAGGTACATGTCCAATTTGTTGACATCTCAAGGCTTTTACTGTTACGGACTTTTACCTTCATCAGTAGCATCAAAATGCAAGAGAGAGAAGACAGATGCATCTTGATGCAGGGTTCAAAGCGGTCGAGGTCAACAGAGGCCTCTCCCTGTCCGGGCTTCCTTTTCTTGCGCCAGCTGCCTTCGTTTGCCAAGCTGGCCCGAGCCGGCTCCATTCTGCAAAATCCTGTCGAAGATGAATCTGAAGTGTAGCCAGGGGAAGGTCAAAATTGTAATTATGGTTATTGAAATGTTATGAATAGTTTCATCATGCTTAATCCCTGGTGGAAAGACTTTTGAAGCTCGATCCGGATCGGTGGCTTCGCCATGCAGCTGCACCTGTGGTTGCTCGGCTGGAGCTTTGTTTGGCTACCTAGCCGAGCAGTGGAATGCAATGAGATCGACTCCTGCACCGAGTGCTTCCGATGCTTGGTGCGTTCGGGAGAGGACGGGATGGAGGCTTTCCCACCAATATCCCCACCCAGTGTCCCACCAGAAATTCATTGAGGCTCCCCTGATTTCGAGATGGCCCCACATGAATCGTGTTAGTTCAGCTATGTTCAGCCATTGCCACCGTGTTTGGTGAGTTTCTGTGTGTTGTTTTCCAGTTTTGTGAGGGCCAGAGCCAGATAAAGTTAAAGTCACGAGGCGTGTGCTGAATCATGAGGACCAACTTGCGATCTCTCTATATATATATATAGCCTCATTAGAGTAGCCATTAGAGTTTGAAGGTCGAGATTTTGATCAGTTGGTTTGCCCAATCTTCCATCCCCAAGGAAGTGGCTGCTTCGGATGGCCCCTTTGACAAAGAAAGGGCATTCCTCGAGACAAGAATTTGATGTCAAAGGTGCGTTGAGAAATGTGAGACTGGTGTCGGCCTTTATGTGGAAACCCAGCTTGGCCAGTCTTTGATAGTCTTGTCTCTACAAAAGAGAGCAGCCCTTTTCTTGTGTATGAAATTCGATGAAATTCGTAACTACAAGGGCCATGCAGCCAACAAACTTGGGCGCCATGGAATGCCATGACCGCAGACTGAGGTTTGGAACTGAATGCTGCTCCAAAGAGCACTGTCTTATGGCAGCACAAGGCCCAGCTAACGGCAGAGCGTTCAGACGGTGACTCGCACGCGAATGCTTGCGGCAGTTGGTGCAGCCAAGTGCATGTGCAATGCGGCTGGTCCAAGCGATTCCGTGGCACCAGCTGACAGCTCGTACGTGTACAGTAGGGATGAAGTTCAATCAGAAGTCGCTGAATGAGTGCGGGCTGGTGTGAGAGTATGAAGAGTATTGTAAGAGTCATTAAGAGTCTACACATGAGATTGAGGTGAGGTCATGATAGGTTGCACCAATTCTCCCGTGCACCTTGACAACTTGATGTTGTTCGCTTCAGGGGACCGAAACTTCTTTACCTCCTGCTACGAGTGGAAGCAGCATGAGGACGCATGCTGACACCGTCAACTTGTCTTGTTTCGGTCTTGCAAAAAAAGAAACGACGTCGTTTCGACGGCCTTTCCTTCGAAGATCTGTCCAGTCCTCGGATCGGCGGTGAAGAATAAGAACTCCAATTGCCAATTGGTCTTCTATATTCTGTTGGAAGTTGGAATGAATTCCTAGATGTCCGGGTGTTTTCGTTCAAGGTCCGAAGATGCCAGCATCCGGCAACATCCGGCACACCGGGACGTGAAACCAAACCAAGGAGATGTTGCGAAATGGGTTCCTTCAACTGGAGCCTGTGAAAACCCTGGTCCGTTCGGACATTCGCTGAAGTGCACAATGTCAGGATCTATCACAGATTTGCTCGGCCATCCACGATGATCCTTGTGCTTGTTTGGAGGTGAGGGACAGCTTGTGAGTATTGTGAGTTCAGGGTTTGAGAGACTTGTTTCACGTCTCTTTAGGTTGCTGTCAGCAATATGGGAAGCCATGGTGCACAGAAGCGAGATCATTTGCCGCATGAGTTTGGGTCCAAGGGCAGCTCGGATATATGAAAATGCTTTCACCCTGCATCCTTTTAATAGCAGAGTCTCCTTGTTGGTATGGTTTTTCGACCCACCCTCAAAGTCACGGAATGCCAGCCACAGCTATTCTATTTTGTGAGACGCGAAGTGTCGGCCTTTTCCGAATATATTCCTGTCCTTTCTCTTCCAACGGTTTGGTCACTTCAGTTTGGGTTTTTTGGACGCACTTTGCATGCCTTTGTCTCAATTTTGCGTAGCGGACCTGCAGTCGCTTGGAAGATGCCAGGCCGGCTGTGTGGCGCAGGAAGTCTCAATGGTTGTGACCTTAGATGGGGGTGGACCACCGGACGATGAAGGGTTTTAAGAGGCTATTTAGATGATGGGATGTGACCGGGATGTGCTTTGTTTATTTTGTTGTTTTCTACCTGGTAGATGGGTGGAGATGACTAGAGGGTGTCGGACAAGGGGCTGAATGGATACTCTGAATATAGCTAAAGCTGGTTGGTTTGGCCCGGCTTGGGCTCTAAGACTCTAAGACTTGAGAAGACGAGGCAGTCCAAGAGATCGCACACGGCCACGACCGGGCCAATTGCTTTGCAACGACTGTGGGGGCATGTTGAGGTGTGTCTTTTGCAGCCTTGTGTTTTCTGTGACGGTGAGTGGAATCTGAAGCAGGGCCGTCACACCCTGATTCGCTTGCCTTCCTGAGGGATCCACTGCCTGCTTTGCAGCCTATCAACCTGCAGCTGGACGACAGATCTTTGCTGCAGACCTGGCGTCCGAGTGTGAGGCCGGCCACAAGAGATGAGGCAAAAGGAGCATCTTTCGTATGGATGAGGACGGCTGTCACCTGAGATGGGCGGCTTAGTGTTGAACGCCCTCAGGCACCAGGTCTGCGCAAGCTTTCCTGATGTCATTTGAATCATCCTGAGTCCTGAAGCATTCATGGACAGGCTCCCTTTGGCGAGGCTGTCCTGCCTTAGGCCCGGGGTAAACGATGTGGATGTGGATGTTTATTCCACTTAGAGGAGAACGCTTCATGAGGGTGAACCATGGAAAGTTTGGCTGCCAGGACCAAATGTATTGCAGCAAACATCACTTGGAGGGCCAAGTTGTCTTGTTAGATAATTATTGCTTTTTTGCTAAGATAGTTTTTCCAGAAATCAATTTTTGACTTGTCTTGAGTCTTGTTCATTTGTTTGCAAAAGATATGCTCTACTGAGGCAGCAAGGCCCATTCGGATGTTTAACGCATATCATTGATGAGGGTACTGTGTTTCGGCTTTGATCAAGTCACACGGACATGTCAAAGACAGTGACTCTATAAGACACTGGACGGCGTTCATCAAATTCATACGTGAAATGTCTTGACCATGACGCGTTGGCCGCGACTGCAGACCTGCAGCTATCCACAGAGCCCGGTGCCAGCTGGCAGGGCCTAGAAAAGCATTCCGAACCCCACACTTGAATGTTCCGGATCCATGCATACAGAAAAGAAGGCGGAAGACATTGATATGACAATGCGAATAGTACCACGGGCAATTCCCATGCTACAAGTAGGTAGGCTCAATGCTGGTCATGACTTTGTTTTTGTCCACGGTTCCAAACTGGCAGCGACGAACAAGGGGACGGCAGGTTCACTCAAAGATTTGGACAGAAGGTCACAAGATCTTGAGAAAATCAGGAAGCGAGACAATTTCTTTGCAGTTCTGAATCATTCATGTTGGCAAAAAGAAGGTGGCGGTGTAGTCTCATCGAGAACCTCCTCGCGCGTTTGTCATGCGCGCGCGCTAGTGGACAGATTGCAACCTCGCGAGGCCTGAGTGATGCTGTGCACAAGTCATGGCAAGCTGAGTTCAATACCGTAGCGGTGGGATCGGATGCGGTGTTGCGTTTGGCTGTCTCAGGGCGTCCTTTTATCCTAGGTCCCTAGATTTGCCCCAAAAAAATGACGAAACTGCTGTGAGCACCACCCATGTCCCAGTCAAGGCACAGGGAAGTAGGTAGCTTTCAATTCAGGATTGTACAGGCTTTCCCCACTTTCGCTCGGTTTGAAGAGCCCATGGAGACACAGAGCCATCAACAAGAACTGCAAAGGCTGATGATTTGTAATAAAGGCTGGCAGTGCTTTCGTTTGCCATGGCTTGTCCATCCATAAGCCAACCATATTTGGGAGATTTGCATAGATCATGCAAACTAATTTGTTTGGGATCTCCATTACCCAACCTCTTGTTGCCTTCAAACCCCAAATGCATGTGGCTGAGATCGGTAGTAACTTAGTATATAACCCACTGGCGAAACAAGTGCTTTCATGTGTTTTCTACTTGTCACTGTCGCCAAGTAACTCCTGTTGTTTTCTTTGGCGCCAGAACTTAGACCACACGGTGCGGCTCGGTGTGGTCTAAGGCCTCTTCATCCAGCGGGTGTCCACGTCACAGGATTGGGTGCGCCCCCCACAAACTTGAGACAGTTCTGAGCACTCAGAAGTGGAGGGAGGCTTAGAAGTGAGGATGATTGGTGATGTGTGCATCAGCCAATGGCTTAGGACCGATTTCTTTGTTTTATCATGGCTTACAGATGTTTACAGTATCAGACTGGATCTGTTTGCGGGAGCTGAGTCTCAAGCCAACGGATAAGACAGGAGGTGAGTGAGGTTAGGGCATCGGCAGCGACACACCGTGTTGAAAGCGACCTTTGGTCATCCAATCCTGCAGAGACAGAGCGTGAGTCAAGTTAAAGAATCAACAGCATCATCCTCGGAAGGAACCCATCAAGCCACAGCATCAAGCTTGAGCTCACTCTTGTACGGCTTGGAATGATTCGATCTCACCACGAGGGGTGATGTGTGTCTCTATGTGTCAAACAGTGCGAATCGGTTCTTTTTTGGGGTTTGGCACGGGGAACGATGCAGACGGCCGCAACACGAAGGAACCAACGGTTGACTGGCTTGTTCACTGAAACTCACCCAGGCTGCTTTCGCCTTTGCTTCGGACGGACGTGCGTTCTTGGATGGCATATGGCGAGCCTCGCTTTGCGGTGATTACTAACTTTGATTCGGCCTATGAGATTGGTTTCCAATGTGCGGCTCGGCTCAAGGGGGTCAAGCTTGCTTCAGTTGACGGAAAACATGGGAACGCGCCAGATTTGTGGAGGTTGACACAAGCAATGAGGACTTTGGACGGGCTTTGCGAGCAAATCTGCAATAACCAGCTGCAACTCGAGAAGGGGGTCTACAAGAAAGATGTAGAAAGATAATTAGGTATAATTTCGGTATAATTAGGTGAGCAAAATCACGGCATTAGGACAATGATCGCAAATTGCCACACTGCTGCACCCAGGCCTCACAGTTCTCCTGTGATGTTGACAGGAGAATTGAAATCATTGCGATTAGGGTCCGAGATTGACGTGGAAGACATTCCCCAAGATGATTGAATTTGCCCGAAAAACTGAAGTGTCCCCCCGATTTCCCTTACCTACAATCGTTGGACACATGCATTTATCGGTTGAAACCGTTGGATGCATTTGACTCCTAAGAACAGCATGATACCCGTGTTGAGCTGCCAAATTTGTACTTGAATGTACTTGGTGTTAACTGGGTGTACAGTATTTTGCCTTTTTACTGGAAGTGTCCAAACGAATCTGTTGAACTGTTGCCCGGTTAAACCCGCTTTGCTGGCCAAGGCGGCAGTGAACGAGCAATACTGCAAACGATGGGGTATTCCTTTCTTGCCTTGCATCCTCGAGAAAGAGGCTTGGCGAAGAATCCTCACGCTTGAGAGGGTCAATAAGGATAAGAACATTTCCAAGTGCATATGGCAATACAGGCATTTGAATAGCCTTTTGGCAGCATAGCTTCTTTCCTAACAGCCCGCGCTTCGGCCTGCTCTTGGCCGAGGAAGAGATGGAGAGCATTTGCGACGGCCGCCATTTTGCATGGGCCAAAGTTGTCCCTTGGACATTGCCTATTACAAGCGTGTCGGTTGGTTTTCTGATGCTTATTTCTGACCAAAGCAGTGATGCTAACGAAGTGGGGGGTTGTGGCATGTCATGTCACAAAGCTGAGATAACTTGTAGGCGTGTGCTGCCAGGGCCATCGCCTTTAGCCTACATTTTGCGGCTGGAGCTGGAACCTGCTAATTTTCAGGCTCCAATGAGTCATTGATGCTGAGGTCAGGCTCGTTGAAATATTTTGGTGACCCCTGCTTGACTGGCTGGGCTCTTTGTGTAGCTGCATCGTGGTCGGTTGTTGTTGTTGTTGCTGCTGTATTTGTTGTTCTTGTTGTTGTGGCAGGAGCAGCAGCAGTTGTAGTTGTAGTAGTTGTAGTCGTCGTCGTCGTCGTCGCAGGAGTAGAAGTAGTGGTGGTGGTGGTCGTGGTCGTAGTAGTAGTAGTCGTCGTCGTCGTCGTCGTCGTAGTAGTCTTAGTCGTAGTCGTCGTAGTCGTAGTCGTAGTCGTCGTCGTCGTAGTAGTCGTAGTAGTCGTAGTCGTCGTAGTCGTCGTAGTATGTCGTAGTAGTCGTAGTAGTCGTAGTAATCGTAGTAGTCGTAGTAGTAGTAGTAGTAGTAGTAGTAATAGTAGTAGTAGTAGTATGTAGTAGTAGTGTGTTTGTATAGTAGTAGTATGTTAGTAGTAGTAGTAGTAGTAGTAGTAGTAGTAGTAGTAGTAGTAGTA